TCCAGAGGCGGTCCCGCTAAAAGAGCTAAGTTCCGTGGAAGTAGTGAACGCACTTCTGTCCGTGTTTGCCCGGGTAGGCTTTCCTGTCGAGATACAATCAGACCAGGGCACCATTTTCACGAGTGTCTTAACGACAACCTTTCTAGAGCGGTGTGGCGTGAAATTATTGCATAGTTCAGTCTACCATCCGCAGTCGAACTCGATAGAAAAGCTTCACTCCGTGATGAAGCGAGTGTTAAGAGCCAACCTGTGCTTAGTTCACCGGACTACTCGAGGCCTTTCACAGTCCAATGCGACGCTAGTGATAGAGGCATGGGGACAGTTCTTAGTCAAAGGGATGAGGGGGATCAAGAGCATCCCGTCCTCTATGTTGGCCGGAAACTCACCCTTCGCGAGCAGGTTTACAGCGCTAGCGAAAAGGAATGTGCGTGCTTGGTTTGGGCAGTCCAGAAACTGGCTTGTTATATTGCCGGAAGCAAGTTCATTGTGGAAGTGGACCACTGTCCTCTCACCTGGCTACAGACCATGTCCTCTAAGAACGGCCGCCTGCTGCGTTGGAGCCTCGTTTTGCAACAATATTCGTTTGAAACAGGCTACAAAAAGGGTGTACTCCATGGCAACGCTGATGGCTTAAGTCGATGCCCCTGACGCGAGAGGATGTCTCGAGAACTCTGGCATTTTTTTTTCCTGACCTAGACAAGAGCTAGTGATTGTTTTTTTACTCTTTTAGGTTTACTTGTTTGAAAACGTTGAAGACACGGCTATCCAGGGTTTCGGGTTCGGTGTGCTTCCAGTGTTGTTGTTTTGTGTCACCTTAAAGTGTGAGTAACATTTTGAATAAATTGTGTATTTCCTTTAATATCAGTTAAAGGGGAAAATTGCCTGGTGGAGTTTGGCGGAATTGTCCGGCGCTCACCGGCTGAGTAGTTGTGTTTTCATGTGCGTATGTGACGTCTGTTGAGCCCTCAATGAAGCAGGTGTTGCCCTCTACTTCATCAAAGACGGTCGTCACCAAACCGACTGCCGGCGCTGATCTCTCCGGACAGTGGCTGCAAACCTCAGCCCATCGTGTCCATTCTTCAGCACTGTATAAGCCTCACATTCGGCTGAGCCCTATTACATCCAAGTTAACAACCTCTAGTTCCTCGAACAGCACAGCTAGACTAGCATCACTAGATAGCGTTCTAGCGTTGAGCGTATACCCAAGTTCACATTCCAATGGCAGACTGTCTGGACCCGGGAATTCTAAGCATGCACCCTCCGCGTCTGACCACCACTGTGGACAGTTGATTCGCAGCCGCTGAGGGCCGAGGGTTAATTGGTACGTCTTTATGGGGCCGAGTACTGCACCAGGGTGACCAATCCTGCTCTGGTGAGGCGGCGCATTACCGGCAGGTGCTCTGCAGTTAGGCTGCACCCCAGACCTTTTTTTTTAACGATTCCTTCATCACGCGTTTTAACGAGTGGTCCGGCATCGGCATTCGAACCGAATCTTGTAATCATGCTATAGGCTGATGCACTGCCAACTCGGAATACTTTAATTCATTCCCAAGTCTTAGTAGCCAACTTGGCATTGGAAACCGGTCACAGTTGCTAGCTGGGAATGCATTCCCAACTGGAAATGTGTTCCTAGTTGAACTGGGACCAGTTGAAACTAGTTGGATCCCCAGTTAGGAATTTTCACCTGAGATAGGAGTGCAGTTGCCAGTGGCGTACCAACTCTTTTGCGAGTTGGGGGGGGGGGGGGGGGGGCTAGCTTACCTCATTCGTCAGCCGAGGTCGCAGGTTCGGTTCCTGCCCACGGCAAGTTATCTTTTCACCCACTTTTCTTTTTCAGATTTACATCACAATTTGGTCTAATAACTTCCCCTTTACTTTCCTTGGCATTATTGTCTGTTGGATCTCATTAATATTGTGTCAAAACACGGATATATATATATATATATATATATATATATATATATATATATATATATATATATATATATATATATATATATATATATATATATATATATATATATATATATATATATATACATTTATATACTTCGAAATTTAATCACACTTTAACCAGCCGAGGAATGGCGCCCTTAGCCCGATTTCCGGGTCCAATATGCGACGCAGAATCTTACTATCTTCCTATCATGCCTCTTTGTCTGATTATGCTGGCGGCTATCATCTAGGAATACCACAATCGTTTAATAAATTTATCATGGATGTTAGTTGTCGTGACGGAGATGTACTAAGTCTTAACAAAGATACATCTACGTTAAACGGGGCTATAGCTGCCAAACACCGAAACAAAAAACCTTCGGCAGGCTCTCCTTTACCAATGTACAGTAAGCGTTTAATTACCCCTGTAAAGGCGCGTTTTACTTTCGTGTTACACGCCGATTCCTCTAACGAAGGGATTTTCAGGGAATGATTGCTTTTGTATCATTTCATAAGTATCGCACTTTCTTGCATATATTCAGACATGCGTGTATTATAATTCGCCTTATTTGCTCGTAGTCTGAATACCGTATCTGTAGCATGCAAATATTAATCATATTGATATGGTTATATTACTTTTGTGACATTTTTATCAACTTCTCAACCTTTTTCTTTAAAAATATATAAGTTTTGGTGTTAGGGGGGGTAATACATTGTTTACATTCATTGTATTTGTATCAACATTTCTTGAATGACCCCAGGCGTCTACATAAATAAACCAACACAAAAGGTGCAAACAAAATATTACTTCGAAAGAACAAAATGTGGGTGATTATAATGTTAAACTCTCCCTTGTTGCTTCGTTTCGAAATAGCCGTTAGCTGTATATTGAACTGAATTGAGTTTATTGGGCATTAAGGTTGCGAGCAAACCAGGCGAAAAAGCTGCACTGAGCAGCTTATGGTGAACCTTGAGCGAACATTGGTGTGAACAGTCTTTGTCACGCACACAGCACCAGCTTGTCACGCGAGGCGACAAATGACGTGAAAATGACCCATTGCTCAATGACCACTTATGCACGACCACGTAAAAATTAAGATCATAAACTATTTTCGATATGGCATATTGTTTTCAATTGGCTCTTCGGCATTTCAAATTTTCTGTGTGCCACAAAATCGCCTGCTTGTTGTATGACGTCACGCCGGAGAGCATCTTCTTCTAAATGTAATTCAAGTATGCTAGCTGCCAATCACACAAGCAGCGGCTACAAATAGTAGCTGGCAAGATGGATTATAAGTTTAATAAAAAAATTTCCACAAGCAGCATAACGGGGCTTGGTAGTTTGTGAGCGTATGGATCTCTGTGAGCTCATACTTGCTGAGACACAGGGGGATAGAGAGAAATAAGCAGCGCTGCATGTGTGTGCTTATTTGCTATCCGAGATGTATTTTGAGCTGCAAAGGACAATTCAAGTTGAGTGAAAAGAACTAGCCTGATTCAAAACTAAGCCTTCATAGCGCAAAAAACACGGTATTTAAACTTAATTCTCCCTGGTACGATGAGTCAAGTTGTGGGCAAGCTTAAAAGTTGAGCTTAATTCCTACTGAACTCAAGTCCACTGCTTTATTCGTGGCCACTTTGCAAGCTGCCACTATGACTCCAAGTTACCATAAGCAAGGCCGATCAGGTTTATCGTAGACTAAAGTGGAAATAATTTTTGGCCTTTTAGTACAGAAAAACTTGAATACCAGAAATGATTCGTCACACTCATCGGCTCACAACAGCTTCGACAGGGCAGCGGTGATGGTATATCCTTTTCAAAGACAATAATTTTCCGGAAGCAGTAAATGCTTTGACTGGTCTATAAACAGTTTACTCGTTCCCATCCGTAACTGCATCAAGAAGTCACAGCAGAATAAAAACATGAACAAGTGATGCAATATTATAGGACCCCTGTTCAGCGCTCGCCTGCTCGGCAATACTACAGGACAAGACGCGAAAGCTTCGCATAGGCGACCAGCACCGCAAAGAGCCTACAAGAAAAATTATCACAGCAGAAATGCTGGCGAAATTTCGCTCTGTTGTAACATTGCCTCGTAACATTGTCATTCTTCCGTAAAAACAAAATTGAGTGATTACTATTGCGACGGAAAACTTCGCCTTGTTAGTTCCCCTAGCGCGCAGTCAAGAGCGACCATGGTGCACTGTATAAAGTGTGTGTGGGGGGGGGGGGGGGAATCAGCCCTCCCTTACCCCCCCCCCCCCCGGCTGATGCGCCTATAGCCTGTTGAACTTTCTTAGCACTAATATATAATACCACATGACCGCCTATCAGTTCTCAACTTCACATCGTAGCTCGCCTAGCCTTCTCTTGGCTGGTTGATGAAACTCCACATTTCGTAAAAAAAAAAAAAAAAAAAAGAAAGAAAGAAACCTGGTGCGGCTTCAAACTTCTGACCATCCCGCTTAGCCCAGCTTAGTGTTCTGGATGATCGAACCTCTTTCTCGTGCGTTTAGTCTCTCCTAAGTTCTATCTCACTCAGTTTTGACTTTATTGGCTTCAAAATGTCCGCAATGTTGAAGTTTTGCCAGGGCAATACCTGGCTAGAGGTGGCACGTACACCTATACTTTGACGTTTCCTGTCGACTGAAGAGTTGGGCGCTCCTGTTTTGCGAACTAATCAACTTTGGTGAGCGTACACGTTGCGGGTAGTCGGAATGCATGAAAGGTATCCGCGAAAAGTTTTGAATTGCTAAAGAAGAGACTACAGGGCGCTAGTCTGTATCCTCTTTTTGTCGGCATTCTAGAGTGGCAAGTAATTCGTATTTAAAACGCGTTAAACATGGTTCGCATGCTGTTAAATGATCGCGGTGCAACTCCGCACACAGTCGCTGCGGCCACCGTGTGCTAGCTTTTCTACAAAGGAAATCTGGGCGTGGAGTGCCAAGGGGCGCTGTAGGCCGATTATGAATTCAAAAACTCGCGCTCGCAACGAATGGTTGGTACAATCGCCATCGTAGCACCAGCTTCTGGCTTATTCAGTCAATCCAATCCAAAGCGCTGAGCCACAGAACACCTCCCAGTGGCTGAGCGTCTAGCGTTGTTATGGTAGTGTATAGGTGTTCTGTGGTTGTTCTGCAACGTTTCGCGCATGTCTCAGCATCCGAGAACGCCTTTAGCGTAGCTTTTCTGAGACGTTTTACTGCCAATGTCCACTATGAAGGTCGCTAGCGGACCGTGACGTGTCGAAACACGGTAGGTCGTCTCCACGTCTTCAACGGAGGCGCGCTTTCAAAGGTGTTCTGTGGCACAACGATCAACTAAAGAACCATGGGAAAGTGCTGCATCCCGGGTTGTCGCAACTCCCGCGAGCGTATACCGGGCCTCACGTTCCACCAAATTCCTTCCAACGAACCGTATCGCACCTCGTGGATCGAGGCACTTACCAAAGCCGGCGTCAAGGCGTTCACCGAGTGGACCCTGGTCTGCGGCGAGCACTTCAGGCCCGAAGACTACAAGATGACGGTGCGAAAGAACTTCCTGCTGCCGTCGGCCGTGCCGTCCACGTTCACCATCAAGCCGTGCAAGAACGCGCCCAAGAAACGCGGTCGCAAGCCCAGTGCCTTGCTCCAGCAACAGCAAGAACAGTTAGCTGCGGCGCGAGCTGGAGCGCCGCAGAGAGTCACAGTTCTGAGGTCCGTGGTGGCTGAAGGGAACGATTTCGCTGATGATGGCGACGAAGACTACGACCCCGTGAGTGACGGCGTGCGACGTAGAGGGCGTCCTCGCAAGCGTAAGGTTTTTACGGACATGGTGGTCTACATGCCCAAACTGACGTCCGACGATCAGCGCGACGAGAACGGGCAGACGCAGGCGATCACCCTGACGTTCCCGCGAGAAGACGGGGACGAGCGCGTCGACGCGACGTCGTCCTCAGGGACGCTGGAGACATCGGAAGCCGTGCGTAGCGAAGCGGTGGCCTCTGACGCGGAGGCGCTACAGGGTATCGAGGACGTCACGGAGCAGCAGCCGCCGAAGAACCTCAACGTCATCGTGTTCACGAATCAGGCGCGCCCCGCTTCGACTTCCACGAATAGTCGAACCGACGACCACAGTAGTGCTGGCGCTGTCGTCGAGCCCTCGTCTGACTACCCGGGCAATCCGAGGCGACGCTGCTGCCAGATTCAGACGCAGCGGCTGCTATTTTACAAGAGCGTCATCACCAAGCTTAGGAAACGTGTGCTGGCCTTGGAGGCCAGTTTAGCCGAGAAAGAAAAAGAACTGGCTTCGGTCGAAGCCCAGGGAGACCTCGACATGCTTTTGTAGCCACCGGTTTTTAGGAACACACAGTGGCAATGACACAAGGCTGTCATTGCATTGAAGATACTATGCACATGCTTTAGTTGACGTTGTTCAAGTGTGACATTTATAAAATGAGGCGTGCCGGTTGACTCACAAGATGGCCTTGCTCTATGTTGCAAAATAAAGGAAAAGTTTGTGGGCACTATTCTCTGACGGTCGCTTTTAGTAATGGCATCACTCTGCTGACACTTCGTGTAGCATAATCGATGATATAACTTTTCTCACTTTGTCCAACCCATGTTCACATGCGCCATTAACTCTCACTGGCCGAGTGTCGCGAAGTCGCACACAAAGTGATGCTATATGCCTAAGCGATCATCTAAGATCATCTCTCCATGTTCTCTCACCTACACAACTGTTGCATACTGACCCTTCGGGGCAGCTGGAGGTTCCCTAGTAGCTTGGAAACACAACCACTACTAGGCATGCAGATTTTCTGAAGTGTTATATAGTTGGGCTCTTTCAAACGTGCAATTTCCTGTACATGTTTGCTTTTTTTGTTTATCGATGAAGCCTAGCTATAGTTGGATGCAACTTAATTGCAGAAAAACCCTGCCCATATGAGCGAAATGTGGCAGCTGATTTCTTCCGCAAATGAAGAAATAATTCTAGCGGAACAACCATTTGGGCTAGTTAGTAATGGTGGTTTTCAATTCAAAAGGTGGGGCGCAGTGCAGAAGAAAGACTGGAGAAAGGGTCAACAGAGGTGCACACTCGCGAGTGGAAGTTTATTAAAAAGCAGCACATATATAGCTTACAAAATTAGCACATGGTACAATTTATCTCTCCTAAAAATATCGAATGACTATCACTTTTCTACAGAAAAATCATCAAGGTGCATACACCTTGAGGGAAAAAAAATTGATTGAAATAAAAATGAGAAATCACGGGGCAGGGGGGTCCCTGTTTTATACTTTGCCCCACTACTTACATTCAAAATGAAATAATCCTACTCATGCACACAGCAGTATTCTTCGAAGGTGGCGACATAGGCCATCGTGAAAGTCCATCTTTGAGAAGAAAATACCACGAAGTTCTGAAGTTGTATCGAACCGTAGCAGTTTATAGTTATTAAAAAACTCAAGCACATGACTGTAGTAGGCCTCCCATAAATGGAATTGTTGCATTTTGTGTGGACACAACTTAGCAGAGAGGCAGACATTTGTACAAATGTCATCGTTACTTCATGCACTAAACGCAACTAACGAAACTGACAGAAAATTGGGCCATGAAAAGCATAGCGGTGGTTTCTTAACTGTATTGCAATCATTCTTACTTTAATGGAAGTAAATTAAAGTGCATAAAGAATTAGCCTTTCCGGCAGTAGGGCCTGAGCCCACAACCTCCGATTTACACGTCTGATGCTCTACCATTTGAGCTAAAAATAGTAAAGCATCAGTAGAGTGGTAGAAAGGCGCTGGCTAACACTCTCAGGTAAGAAGTGCACATGAAAATGCTACAAAAAAGTGGATAAACGAGTCTTGTAGCTCAAATAGTAGAGCATCGAACACGTGATTCAGAGATTATGTGTTCAGATCCTACTGGTATAGACTGGTAATTTTTCGTTCTCTTTTCTAGAATACTTTTGGAATGCTTTGAAATGAAATTGCAGAAAAAAAAATGAGATGATTCTCACAAGATTCAAGATCAAAGTGTTTTCTTTGGCTAGGCTGAAGAACTGGTGGGGTGGCATTTTATATTTGTCTTACCAAGAATGAGGCAATGCAGAGGCCAAATCATATTTGCGCACAGGACTTGAGGCAACCAAAAAGTTTCCGACAACACTTTATACGTGAAAGGCAAAGATACCATTTTCTCAGTCTCTCCACGTCTTTCAACTTCTGTGGAAGCCCAAATGATGTGGAGGATAAGGATGCTCCCTTCGAATCCAGAGTTTCGAATACAGTATGCCTTGCAAATGTCAATATAAAAACAACAAAGTTTCGATGCTAAAAATTTTCAGCTTCAAATTTTACAGCCTTTGTGCCCCAATTTCAGATCCGAATCGAGCCCCCACCTTTGCCACATCTATCATGTCCATGTTGGAACCACAATTTTCTTGAGTCAATGCATTTGGGAATCTAGCAGAAAGGCAGTTTTGCCCTAACACGAGAATGTGGGATATGAAGCGTATTAAAGATCTGAAGGGACTATTGCCAATCAGACGTTGACTGCATTTGTCCTCGGGAAGTTCGAATAGTGGAATTCCGGTGAAAATTGAATCAAATAGCAAAGACTATTTTAAAAAAATACTTTATATTTTGAGTGTTCATGCACTCCTACTTTTCTGCCCAGTGACTCTTCAAGCAGAGTGCTTTACATACGGAGGGCAAGTTCGAGGCCCACATACAAAACTATGGTGGTGGTAGTGGTTAGAAGATGAGAAAAGGCACCTAATTTCTGCGACCCGATCGGGAGCACGGCGCAGTGCCTAACAAAACTATGGGAGAACAGCATACAGCAGTCGTTAAAGGGGCCCTCGAATTCCAGAGCAGTCCGAGCGATAAGCTCAAACTTCGTTGACCAAGATGCCAATGTGTTGAAAAAAATGCTGAATAATCTTTCGAAATGCTACCTACACTACTATATGACGGGACAGTTGGATCTACATCTCTGGGAGTTTGCAAGATGTAAACTTGGAGCACTATCTTTAGCTCTGGGCAAACTGTGTGCACCTGTCTGGTGCGCTGGTAGTGCAGAAACAAACGTAAGTGGCAACAGCGGATAGACGTACGTCATCTTTACCAGGTGCATAAATAACTCTTTCAGCCATGGTGTCCTTTGAACATTCATCTTGCTCCGAGATATTTCCAGTTGGTGTTGACATCGTAGAATTTTAAACAGCGTTGAATGTAAGTGTAGCTATCTGCTAACCAAAAACAATGATGATGCGCAACAATTGCATCAATAAAAGAACCCTCCAACACTCTGTCAGCGTGCTCAGAAATTCTGCCATTCACTTGTCAAGGCTCCTCTGAACACACAAGCTAAACATTGTAGCGCAACCTGCGGCCTGGAATTTCCTATATAACTAGTTTCCAGTGATATTCGGGGGTAATACAAAGTACTGTTGAAAAATTGTGCCTGAGGAAGATAAAACTTGGGGTTTTACATGCTAAAACCATGATTTTATTATAAGCCATGTTGTAAGAGGGCTCTGGAAATATCAACTATCGAGTGTTTACTCTAACATATCCAACATCGCACAGCACTTGGGCCTCTAGCTTTCAGCCTCCATCAAAACGAGACCACAGCGGTCGAAATCGAACCCGCAAGCTTCGGGTCGGCAGCCGAGCACAGGAACCATACTGTTCCAACACGGCAGACTACTGAAGAGGACACTATGATGGCACTTAGAAGCACAAAAACGCATGAATGGAGAAGAATAGAGCACAAGCGCCTGTCTTGAGTTGCTTTAATGCGGATGCATTTCTTTGTCGGGCTATGTCAGGCATCCGGCGTTGCCTGCGGTGGTATCCACGTGCGGGCAGGTGTTATCTCTCTACTCTCACTACCTCTCCCATAGCAACAGGGCGCTTACCCTCGCCTCTAGCAATCAGAACATGATGGTGGGAGAAAGTGTAGGTGCAGTGCTTTGTAGCTTCTCTCACCCTTCGTGCCCTCTCACTCCTGCACCCCACTCTCCTGTCCGCTCGCTTTTCACTCTCGACCGTTCGCTGGCTAGGGCGCCTCTCAAGGCGATGGCACAAGTCTGTGAAGACATGGCCGACGTACAATGATACTATCTCTTCGGCACAAGAAATGCATTCGCATTTCCTCACGATTTCTTTCGGAGAAGAGGAGGCACTTTTTTGTGTTTTTCTGCTTCATAGTACCATCGTGGAACCTTAGAACCTCTCCGAAGAGAATAATCCTGGATGCACTCGAGAAGCCGTAAATTTTTGAAATAAACACACAACACAGAGCTTTCTTTTACTTAGTGAAATCAGATTCGTTTTATTTTATACCTTACACTTGGGTAGACATCTATGTACAAAAGAAAAAAAAGAAGGGGAGGAGGACTGGAACCTAATCGCACGCTTTAGCGGCGACTAAATTTGAGAACAGGAATGACCAGTACACTGACTGCTATGTATACAGATGCAAGAAGGAACAAAAATGGTAAGGAAAAAAAAATAGATATACACAACAGGCCACATACGCAGCTTTTTAGCAAACAACTGCTGCGTTCAATTATATATATATATGTATATGTATATATCACAAAGCACTAGATTCCGAGACTGATCGAAACGAACATGTAGGGAGGGTGGGGAACACGTACAAGGTCAGAACATGGTGTTTTTAACAGGAACTTCTGTGTAGCCGAGTGCAACTTGGGAAAAAAAAGAACAAAAATAAAACAAAACGCTGCAATGAGAGATTCAAGAGATTTTTTCGAAAACAAGACGAGTGAAACGTAAGAAAAGCAACAGCGAGAGGCGTCGCATGCCACACAAGTTGCGAGACGCAAGGGCGTCTTGCGTTCAACAGCGACAATAAACGTTAAGTCAACAATCCTTCGTTTTAAGAGGGAAGGGCGAGGCTAAAAGTGCGAGGGTCTTTGGAAAATTATAGTAGTAAGAGTTTGAGGTGCAATTTCGACAACAGGTGCAAACGCCGACAGCACACCAATGTGCCAGCAATATGCTGGCACATTAAGACGGCCTGATGAATATCAATAAAAAGAAAACAGGCATAGAAAAAAAAAACAAGTACTACAAGCTTTCGTGATAACTGCTGTCAACAAAATTTCACGTTTCGGACCGCCAAGTTCGGGTCGATGATAAGGAGTAAGCCTCTGGCCAACATAAGATTAATTCAAGCAGCCCTGCGTTGCTGAAAGTCGGCAAACTTAAAAGCTTGCTTTGATGGTTAGGATAGTTACTTGTCTGGGGTTAATGCATGAGGGTGGTTGAAAAAAACAAAAAAAAGCTTGCCTATGTACACCTTTTAGAACGTTTGCGATTACTCATTGTGAAGGAAGTTTAAGTTCATCAAAATGCAGTGCTAACAAGTTTCGGGCAGCTGACTTGAAGCGCACATTCAAATGAAATTCACCGACTTTTCATTGTCGGCATTCGTTGCACGTTTTGACGGCAAACACGTCAAAGGCATTGATGCGAATTGCCAGTGAGCAACAAGCAAGCGAGAATATTCTGTCACTTTGGTGACTTCGCGAGGCCAACGGGCGGAAACTCTAAAAGCTGTGGCTCGCGAGTGCTAACTCTCAGCGTTCAATACTGGTGGGACACACAACGTCCAAATGACCGCGCCACGTGCAACCAGAAAGAAATGACGTGGTTCTAACATTCAAAAGCTGTTTTTATGAGACATGCAGCCAATGCACCGGCCCTTTCGGGAAATATAATCAACGAAGCGCAGCACTTTCAGAAATGAAATAAAATGCGCCTGCTGGAACATATGGGCGAGATGTGCTAAAGGAACACAGTGCGAGATTTTGCTTTCCTTTAATATATGGCTAGTGTAAATTGCTGCCACAAAATAAAACTGAACACGTGTGGGCCCCTGCTCTGCCGAGAAAGCTCGGCGAGAATAGCTAATCGTAGTTATAATTATAGTAGTAAGCGCTGCCTCTGCATTCGAACACAGGTGTATATGTCTATACATATAATGAAACTGTCAATAAGTTAAGTTGTCACATTTTTTTTTCTACAGTTGCACAAAAACAGCGGTTTTCAACAATCTCACGATGCTACTGTACAAGGAGGGCTAAAAGAAATTGCCCACATTCACACAAAGCCACGAGAACCACTTGGATATGCTTCGCTGTCTTGTGGTTCGACAATGACTGTGTCTTTAAGCTATGAATTTTCTTCGCCCTCCTGCCACATGTCAATCACGCTGCTTGCAAAAAAAAAAAAAAAAAGGAGTTTTTAAAAGCTTGTTCGATTCGTTGTCTCCGCGCCGGCCAAAACAAAAAGTACCAGGGAGATTCTGCAACATCGTCCAGTCTTGAGCACCTAAAGCTCACATCACATCCTATACTCATGAGAAACAAATGGATATATATATTTTTTTTCACTCGGTGCAAAAGGTGGTGCAATGAAATAAATAATCCCTCCAACTCGAAAAAAAGAAGAACTAAAAACAAAGACTACCCAAAAGAGACTCTCAAAGAACACAACCTACAAAACAGTTTCTCCCAACCCAACCCACAACCTCGATGCATTAAGATCGATGATAAACTGAAAATAAATAACAGTCGCTCGCTCGTTCGATTTCACAAATCGACCGATCGCTCACGTGTGAATGCAATGCCAAATGCTTGGTCAGTCCCCAGACGGACGTGGTTATGTTTTTTTTTTTTAACATCTTTTCTTCCGTTTTGCTTAGCTTTAGGGTCTCCCTGGCCACACTAGCTTTGCGCATTCTTGAACTCGCACAATGTACAATGCCTCGCGAGATAGGAGATGCCCTCGCGCAATACACACAAGCGGCATGATGTACAGGGAAAGACACCAAAATAGTGAGTCCCGGTTTAGCTATGGTGAACAGGAAACAGCACTCCCATGCCACCATCGCGGGCTTGCACACACCCTCCCCCGTCGCACCTTCGGCACATTCAACACTCGTCGCGTTCATTACCCAACAGAGACACACAACAGTCTCAACACCTTCACTCTCGCACAGTCCCACATCGTCTGCCGCGAGGCCACTGTGATCAATCGGTCCGCTGCACAATCTCGATGCGGTCGTCTGCTACCGAGCCACCATGAACCAGACGCACCAGGTTCCTGCGCAGACGGCTGTTCCGCAGCGATGACAGTTCTGCTGCTTACCATTAAGCTCATTCGCCGTCTGCTGCAGAAATTCAGGTCCACCATATGCTTGCACAAATGATCGTATGCTACAAGATGTGAGTTCGAGTCTGTCGCTTGCAGACACAGTACTGTCTGCTTCAAGGAACAACGTAAGTCTGCAACACCAGCACAAGCTTTTCGACTTAGTATGGTAAAGACCTCATGATGTCTTGGAAGTGGCAGCTGGCCACCAGACGATGGATAGCTCAAGGAGCAATTTCAATGCTGGATTGCCGGTCTAGGCATCGGTAACATGACGATGTTCGGCAGCACTCACGACAGGGGTGTACGGAAAGCGACCGGTGTCCAACCAGTCGCGCACCAGTCAGTTTTTCTGAGTCACTACCCTGCCGAAGAACCTGCATGAATGGCGACAGACGGTCCGAATCAACTTTGCGACACTCTGCGAACAGACGACACCAATATACTCGGCAGGAGCTCAAAGTCCTGCTCTCGCTCTCGGCCTCGACTTGAGGCCGCTTTCCTTGATGGGGCTTGGTGCCTCACGAGGCAGTCTTTCCTGGCACACACGCACACACCACTTGTGGCCGAAGAAAAAAAAAAATCAAAGTCTTGCTCTCTAATTGCAAAATAATGTCCCGACCACGAAAAATGTGGCTCTTCACACTTCTAGCGGGTAGGCGACTATACAAATTCATTTGTGCCTGGTGATGTCAATGGTTCCATGCTCTGCAATAAGAAAAGATATATATATATTACATTAGTTACATATTCAATTTAATGTAACAGCTCATCTAAGGTCAAGAAGTGCTAATTAAAGTCACAAAATAAGTGCTTCGCTGCGTAAAATGCACATGCAAATTTCCTGCCTACGAATAGACCCACTAGAGCGCATACACTGAATGTGTCACAACAGTGCTACTGCTCCAACAAACGACCTCGGACACGGCAGCTTACAGTGGAAGTCATGTTGCAAAACTGACAAGGAACGGTGATGAGTTTCTTACAGATGCCTCTCAGCAGCCATCGGTGAAAAGTGAAATTGACTACCTCAGTTGTGGCGAACCACCACACATACCTAGCCAAATGTTGGCAGCATAAACTACAAACTTACTGTATTGCCACACAGCTTCTTAGTGACTTGACTAAAAAGAGTTCAGTGACAATGTCAACCTGATAGCATGCATCAATAGCACAAATTGAAACATAAGCGAAAAATGACTGATCCAAATGAGTGTTCTCCACAGTGACATCAGGCTATTTATCTATGGTATTCGATTGTTAAAAGCCTGAAGTGTATGCTTAGAAGCCTCAAATCAGACACTACCACAAAAGAGCCTTTTAAGACCGGACAGCATGTTTAGAGCAGTTCCAAAATTTCACAGATTAAGTTTATGCTGATAGTGTACATCAGCTGATATCGCTATCAGCATTGTGCTAATAGTGCATTCGAAGACAAACTAACCGGGGGGTAAGCCCTGGCTGGCTGGTACTGGTTCTTTTCTAAGCTAAACTGGTCTTCTGTTGTCTTCCTGTACACCGGGTTGTCAAAGTTCATGCTTGTAATGTTCCTCCTCAGGTACTGTCGGTACACAAGGTACGCCACCTGTGCAAAAGAAAGATGGCAAGTCGTACATAAAGCACGGAAACTGATGCAGACCCCCTCCCCCCGAGAGCAAATCATAGTGCTTGATCGAAAACATCTGTGTTTGTGAAACTGCGAGTACCATCAGCAATCGACCCAACCCCCGGCAGAAATTGAGATATAGGCCAGAGCACCTATGTTCAACTTCTGGCGATAGGGTCCAATGAAAGAAGCTTGTTTTCTTGCACAATGTTGCTCGAATCGCCAAACTCATCGCAGTGCTACAAGAACTCACCAAAGATCCGCGCACTAACTGTGCAGCGAAGCTAAATAAATGTAGCGCTGTAACACAATGACTCTCAAGCTTATCCATTTAAGCAATAGCAGAAATAGTAGTACAGTTAAACTCCTTTATAAGAGGCATGCTCCAGGCACCAATTGTCTTTTTTATGAGATGTTTCTTATAAGCAGGGTACCTCGTATGCACTTTCTTATCAACCCATATTTTACTGAAAGCACACTGGTGCCTCTTATGCCCATTTGTCTCTTATATCAGTGTCTCTTATAAAGGGGTTCGACTGTATCTAGGATACTAAAAATCGTACCACACTACTTCGATCACTTCACTCTCGCACAGTCGGGCAGAAATGCAATCCTAGATCTGGCTTCCTTGCATTTACCTTCTTCAAAACTATGTATTCGTTACTTTCCTGTCAAAAATGGTACGTCACTTTGACAGTGCACATGTGGTTCATGGCCCTGAGTGCCATGCACGTAAGAAGACGAACACAAGATAGGTAATACTTATAGGTGCGTTCAATTCACCTTGCACCTGCTGCACCGGTTCATGGTACACGACACCACAGTGCTCGACTGCAGTGCAGTGCAGGAGTGGTGCTGCCACTGTGTGAGAATTGCTGGGCCTGCTCGGGAGCAAGTGCCGTCGCAGTGCTGCTTAGAAGCAAACGAAACGTTTCACTGCCACCTGGTGGAACATGATGTTCATCTTGAATGTAAATTTACGGTGTCTAACACCAATTATAGTGGTGTGATAGTGGCAGACGGCAGCACTCACGCAACGGCTAATTAAGGAATTTTTTTTGGTTGGATGCGGGTGTAAGGAAAACGAGCTCAACAAAACTTATTGTTGGGCTTGTTGGCTATTCGTCCTACTGCAAGATAATTAGTGCAACTTTGACTCCCGAAAACACTCGCACAAACACTCACTCATTGACCCGTGTGTTCAAGTGTCTTACTTGGGTGGATGAGTGAGTTTTCGGGAGTCAATGTTGCGTTAATTACGTTACAATACGACAAGGAAAATGGGCCTTGCGAGCAGAGCAGACAACAGGCGATTCACCAGTGCCCTCAATTCAAAGGAGAAAAGACAACAGCTGATGGCGCTGCATTTGCACCACCTACATGGCATTTCCACTTCAGTGGCACCATTTGAACTTTTTGCAGTACCAGTTCCATGTACCACACCGCAATTGAACAGACCTTATGTATTGCAGTGCTACGAAAAGATGCTCCAGAAAGGGCTATTGTTTTTAGGGCAAGAAGAAAAGACAAGCCAATCTAAGGGAGCAAGGAGAATGACTCGGAAGCAACATCACTTGTTGTCGAATACATTTAAACCTCAACATAATCAACCAGGATATAACAATTGAAATATCAGTTACAATTAAGTAAATAAAAAATACTCTTGCATTTGATACAGTGATAAAAATAACCTTCATAACAAATTTTCAGATATACCGAAATATCGGTTACAATGAAGTAAATAAACAATAGTCTTGCATTAGATACAGGAGTTAGAAATAACATGACAAATTTTCAGATATAACAAACTCATTTTCTTGCAAAATGAAACTTTGATATTAGGTCCAAGTGTACACGCAACTGACGCACTTACCAGGGTGATGACGACAGCCAGGCTGCCGAGAACGCCCATGACGATGCCTGCAATGTGTCCCGAACCCAGCTGCGAGAACAGGTTGCGACGGTCCAGCGCCGACTCCGCGTGCCCAGGGACTCCCTCACCGGTGGCGTGGCTCGTGTTGTACACCACGCTCTCATCCGTGACTGCCGGCACAGTGGGGACTTTCCCACTGGTTGCGGGTGGTAACGTTTGTACCGCTGCATGAAAGCAAAGAATGTTGAAGAGCACATCAAGGCAAACCAACATAGAGAGAAAAGTGTGGCCAAAATAACTAGTCAGTTTACGAGGCGCATTGGCTGCAGACATCTATACGATCCTCTTGAAGTTCTAGAGGGTTTGAAGGAGTCATTTTTTGTAAAATATTTTTTCTTTGTTACTAACAATACTGAATGGGAAGGCAGTTTCAGTACAGTACTGATTTTCAGTTTGCCTTTTAAAGTTTTTGCTTGCATGCCAAATTACACAAAAACATAAGCTTCATCAAGAAACATGGCACTTATCTTCTGCTTGTTTTCTGTATGTAAACAGAAAAACTTGATTTATTCACGTGATAAATGCAGCCATGTGTGTCTCGAGGCACCTGAAGCTGAGTTCCCAACAAGGTCTTCTATAGATCAAACAGACTGCCCTTCTTTTATTCTTTAGAAACATATTAGCTGTTGAGGCATAGGAATTCTGCCAGCAACAGAAGTAAGCCAGTTTAGCAAGGTTATAGAACCGCTGTCGTGCTTTATTCGAGAAAAAGTATTTAGATTTGGCAGTCGGCCAGGTCCAGCAACAGCTCGTAATGACAAAAATACGCATTGACCATACTTCCTCACCACTGCGATCAGCATGGCTTTAGCAGGAATCTAGCACAGCAGCTGTGCGCTATAATGTTACACATGTTGGTCACTTGAGTGCTTATATCACCATTTGGCTATTTCCTAGTACAGTGGGTTCATTGCGTTTTCACTCCATAAAAGAATCCAGCAAATACACCTTTCTGTTCTGGTTAAGCATGCCTCATTTAGACTACTAACCTAACTACACTTCACTCAGATGGCAATATCTGAATACATCAAAGTACTATGCATGCTCTCTTAGGTGCCTTTGCAGTGCTGAGAGAGAGAGCTCCCACCTGTATCGGCAGGAAGCGTTGCAGAGGAGGCTGGACCCAGAGGAAGGCAGAGAGGATGAAGAAGAAGAAGGTGCAAGAGCGGAAGAGGAAGAGTTTGGAGAAGACGATGCGGTGGCCGTCTGCACGGTCACGTTGGTGGATGTCGCCATTCGAGAGCGTTTCGTTCGAGAGGACACAGCCCTTCGGTACTTCTTCCGCACTCGCTTTTCGTCAGGGAAGCATCGAGAGCACGGGAAAGGACACCAGGGCAAATCGGTGCGAAGAGGGCGCCCAAGGGGTACCGAGGAGGAGTTGATCAAGCAAGAGTGGTGTAAAGAGGTGTAAAAACAAACGTGCAGGACCAAGTAAGAGTTGAAAAGGCACGAGTTTGGAAGTGAAAAGAAGCAGCAAAGGTTATGTACAAATACGAGAAAAAAGAACAGAGTAAAGGGCAAGTGCATAGGGCCAAACAAATAGGTTTCAAAAGGGCGCAACAAGGTGGTTACACAAGGGCACCAACAAAAACACCGACAAAGGTGTCGGAAGAGAGTAAGATGCCAAATGCGAGTAAATGAGTAGGTTGGGGAGAGATATTGAGGCGGGGCAAATGAAAAGGGACAAATTTTAAAAAAGGGGGGAGAGGAATAAACCAGCAGTAAATATCGTGCAAAAAATGCAAATAACATAGTATTATAAAATGCAAAAAAAAGGTCCAGCAAAAAGCAAGACGAAGGAGGAGGGGTTGAGAGTAGGAGAAAAAAGAATAACAAGACAGTCATTAGAAGAGAGGTAATGATAGTGACAAAGACAGATTGTTGATGCAAAAATCTCCGCTTTTTCAACGCAAAGCTCAGAACCATAGGTGACATGGGAAAAGACCTCGCAAGTGGATTGCAAGCGATGATCTAGAAAAAATCCTCGTCAGAAAACTCCTAGGATTACAGCAGTTAACGAAGTGCAAGCTCACCCATAATCCTGCAGTTGCGCCCGTCTTCCTGGAGTTCCATGCCGTTGGGGCAGGCGCACGTGTAGCGTGCCGAGTGGATGCTCAGGATCGGTGCCGGGAGGCAGAAGTGGGAACACATGCCATTGGCCCGCTCACAGTGGTTGACGCCTGCAGGTCAAAACGAGGCAAGCACAAAGTGGCAAGTCAGTCAGAGAGCTGCATCAGTCCAGCATAACGAACATGGCTATAACAAACATGCCACATAATGAATTATTGGATATAAAAAACTGTCATAACAAAATGCGTTTTACCTATACGTTCATTGCCAATACCAGTGTCAAACAAACGTGCCGACAACATACCTATCACACGTGTTACGAAGCTAGTTTGACAACAGATGCTGTTCTGTAGTAACGAGGCGCATGATCGTGCAAATCACAAACAGTAAACACCGTGTCAGTATCATTTATAATTTACATCGCCTAACTGATGGTTTACTATGTACCATTTCATAATTAGCATAGCGTAAAAGCGAAGGCTATACCAGACAAATTTTGAGGTGAAAAATGTTTTGTGACCAGAAAGAGAACAGAAGTGGTTTGAATGCAAGAACAACCAATGCCACTTTTACCAGTTTTTTTTCCTTCAACAATAGGGTGATCCAAATCCAGCTGGCAGTTATGACTGCACTAACAGAAAAAATACACTTGCTGTGCAGTGTAAGTTGACATTTACCTATTTAACTGAGTGAGAGAAGTCAATCAAAACAGCAAGTTATTATCAAATGAAGCAAATGCAAATGTATGTCACTCAAACCTCATTATAACAAACTTGCACCTTGCGTAAAAATAAGTTCGTTATATTCAAAAGTCCATTATAAAGGTATATTTCTAACACTGTTTATTGCAAGGCTATTCACTTACTTTCTTATCACCAATATTTTATTATATTCAAGTTCCTTATATCAAGGTTTGAGTTACATGCACTTTTCTCAGTTCTAAATCTTAGTTTTTGTTTTCTTCGGAAAGTAAATGCTCGAATGCAAAGTGGCACAATGCGGCAACGAAACATGCATATGCTTGTGCAGACTTCTCACCTTGCGGTTGCTTGTAGCTGTGGTAGACGTGGACATCCATGGGCGAGAAGACCCCGTTGGCAATGTGGGTAAGGTTCTGGCCAGTAAACTTGTTCACTTTGTTGATCACCTCAGACTCCCAGTCAGTCCAATACAGCCAGTCCTGCACAATAAAGTGCATATGCAAAACTTGAAATGGATGCAAATTTTTTCAATGTCTGCATCCACATGACTTATTAACCAAGTCCTGAGAAGTTGAAAACAGTGCTAAGCTTTGCATATAAAAAAATGTTTTGAATCTTCAGCGGAATTAAGTTTGTGTGGCAGACATGCCTCGACCCAGACTCGCAACCTGTGGGATAACTCTTCGTTGCGCTGCTTTGAAGTCAGCTGGCAATGAAAGTCAAATGTGTGAATATAACATTTGGAATTACATCACCCCTTGTCTAAGGTGGATCTTACTTTCCATTCCAGTCCCTCTTACATTCCTATATTTATTGATACAATCGTTTCAAATAATCATTTTGCTCTTGATAGTATCATGCTTCAGCTGGCACCTGTCCTGATACTTTTATGAACTGCCCGCTGAACACTTCAGTGGCCATTATAACAATATAGTTGCTCTCTTGCCCTGCCATTATCATTTATGTAGCAAGGGCTCACCTCGAAGACATCTAATGGAGAACGGATGCTTCACAAATAGTGGTGTAGAGAGGACAACTCGGCGGTGGCTTCCGTCGTAGTCAGGCACTGCTGATCAGGTGTAGCTTGGCATCAACCCAGAACAGCCGCTTCGTCAAAAAGTCTGCGCGAAGTTATCAGAACAAAAGTACAACTTGCGTTAGTCTACAGTAACACGGAGCAGAAGCAGCACACAACTCGTGAATCACCGCACAGTAGGTGCTGGCAGGTTCGTACCAACTAACTGCGACAATTCAATCGCTGAAAGGCACTATTTCAATAGATGAGCGCTGCAAGCACCACGCACCTGCTGCCAAATGCACAGATCACGCAATGAACGCGTACCGCTAGCAATGTCACTGCAGCACAACCAGTATTCCTTCAGTTACTTTACCAGAAAAATAAAGCCCTAGAGTTCATGCATCCTAGACCCTCACACTCCACACAGAAGCATCTATTTCATCTTCCTGGCACATGTGTCGCACACTCTTTCATGGAGATTGATAATGCACGAATGCAAACTTTGTTAAAGAACAGCCAGTTTATTCCAAGATCTTGTGAATCTCGATATATATAGTTCTATAACTGTAGCATATTAGATTAAACACGTTCTGGAGTGTCAACACAGACGGCAAAGCACTCACCAATTGTAAGTCCGTTGGGCCAGAGAATGTCCGTGGTGACAATAGCCGATCGGTGCGAGCCATCCATGCCAGCCCGCTCGATCTTTGGCTGCTTGCCCCAGTCGGTCCAGAACATCCAGCTGTTAGCGGCAGAAATATTTAAACATTAAGAGAAAGGCAGCTACAGCTATATGTGAATTTAGCACATCTTGCAGAAATGCATACTATCACTGCCTGTAACAATGTGATAATGCGCCAACACATTTTGTTAGTTAACACAGGACCGCACGACCAATCTTCTAACAAATTGCAGACTGGCGAACTGTCAACTACACCATGCTACAAGCTATGCCCTGTAACAATTCGCTGAATTATGCCTATGAAATGACGGAAAGCAGTTTGAAAGATGGAACAGAAAAAAAAAAGAAAATTACGAACACTCATTGTGGCACAAAGCCAAGAAGAAATTTATACCAATTTCTCAGAAAGAAATCTATACCGATTTCTCAGAAAGAAATCTATACCGATTTCTCAGAAATAAATCTTGGTTGCCAAAAATTTCGCCCCTATCGAACCAGTGACCAATGCCCTTATGAGACAGTCACTCTTCCAATACTTTCTTTCCAAGAAATTCATATGCATTGCTTTGTCACTTCATGTTATTAACAAGTGGTTGTTCTTTTCCTTTTCTTAACCCTTCTACCACCTTGCTGGACTCCATCAAACCGGTTTACAGCATAGCACTTTTATACCAATTTCAATATAATAAACATTGAATTGTATGCAACAAAATGGCCTTTTTATAAGCCAAGAGATGTCACTGACCCTTCCAGTGGGTTAACAACGATCGCACGTGGCTCGTCGAGTTCCTCGGAGAAGAGTGCCCGTCGCATGCGTCCATCCAGGTCCGCAACGGAGATGCGGTTCTGAGCCGTGTCCGTCCAGTAAATGTGGTTGTAGATCCAATCGACGGCCAGGCCATCAGCAACGTGAAGGTCCTTGTCAATTATCACCTTGACAGGGGTTCCCTTGTCAATGGGTGCACTGTAAAAGAACACATTATTGGGATGCATTCCAAGCTGCACTTCAGCTGTCAAATTTGCTGCCTCACTCTGTAATTTATGTAAGTAAGAGTCTGAGAAAAGGAATTTTCATTGTGCAATCAGCACTATTGTTTAAAGAAAAATGCGTGCGGGAGGGTTCTACGTAAACCACTCTATCACGATTGTCCCCTTGTAGCGAATGTGCCAATGTGCAAGCGCTAGCAAATGTGCAACCTAGTTACTGGAAAAAAAAAATTCACTTCTTTTTAGAGTTTTCATGAGAGCTCTGTCAGAAGGCTAAAGCTATGCAAAGCTTTCTAAGATGACAAAGGAAATCTTGGTTAACAAGAGTCTTAAAGGCAGCAGTATAACACAAGCTCACAGCATGTGTGACAATTCTGCCGGGCAATCACCTTGCTAGTTTATGTGTTTTAAAAGCAATGATAGCCTTCAAGCGATGGAGACAATGCAGACTAACGAAAACAAATAGTGCACACCTGCTAATGACTTCATCAACGGTGTCGGACCAGATGACCGTTCCAGTGCGGTAGATGTAGTCGGTGGCAATGGTGCTCCTCAACTTGGACACCACCTCGACGTATTCACCGGTCTCCAGGTTGATCTTGCGAATGTCGTTTCGGTTAGCAAAAAGCAGGTAGGGCACACCCTCTGGAATCGAAGGGACACAAGAACGATTGAAATCTGGAGCTTCGCTTCTTTGACTTGTTACTCATTATTTCGACCTTGTAATAAGCACTGAAACAGCCTAAAAGCCTACATTTTGGCTGAACAGCACACACGGGACGAGGACGGAAGAAAAGAACACAGACAAGCGCCGACTCGAAACTAACATTTATTTGGGAAAGAAACAGATGATATATAGGTGGTCACTTAACAAGAAATTCATAGAACACTAAACAGCAAAATCAACCAAATGCGTCGCAAGCAATGGGAAAAAATTATAACATTGGTATCATCTTCTGCAGGTACCAGACAGATAGCTGAATTATGCATCGCTGAGCACAATTGACGGCACGCTGACACACTTATCGTTTTTTCTTCGGATGCGAAAGGCTTCAATCACTTCTCTTGCAAGTTGATTTCTTTTACATGACAGTATAATTGTATCGTTGAATAAGGGTACGCAGGCACATTCGCAACAATGAACGGCGAGGGAGAACGGTTTTGACTCTGATAATGAGCGTCCGTGCTCTCGCAGGCGAACGTTGATGCATCTTCCGCTTTGGCCAATGCGCTTGTCTGTGTTCTTTTCTTCTGTCCTCGTCTCGTGTATGGTGTTCAGCCTAAGATGAACCCATACCAACTCACTCAAGCTTCCGTTCTAAAAGCCTACAACATAGAAGGATAGCTACATGAGAGAGCTGGTAATACATTTCAATATAAAACTGAATGCAAATGAATGCTGCTGGACAGAGAAGGAAAACCTGGAGCACTTGAGGTGCGTTTTTCCCTTCTTCATCCAGCCTAATATATCTGGACTCAAAGTTCGATATGAAAATGCCTACTAAAACTTGTCTGTGAAGATAGTCACAAATCAAAATGTTATACTACGATGATCATACCTCATAATTTTTGAAAGATACAAACTAGCAACAAAAGCTCAACTCAGTGAAAGCATGCAGCATATACTGCACAGCTGATAATACACTAGCAGTGTTGTCATTTGTGTCACGTGCATCTGTAATCGACTAGCAAAAGTGCATTTAGAGCCAGCGACACCACACCATCTAGTGGAAATTGCCCACTTCTTGCAACTTTGATACAAGGTGCACTTATGCACAATTAAGCCTCATCAACGCAGTCATTTTACTGAAACACTCTTTCTTTGACTACAAGTACAGTGTATGATGAACAGAAGAAAGAGTACCATGCAATAAACTCACTATATCACACTCTACACTAGCGATACTATGCATTCACTGACCTTTGGCCTTGCATCGGTGGTGATCCCTTGGCTCTAGCATGTAACCCTCAATGCACTCGCACTTGAACCCGCCCTTGGTGTTGATACAGGTCTGCGAGCACGATCCCGGAGTAGCACACTCATCGACATCGTCGCATGTCTTGCCGTCCTCCGTGAGCCTGAATCCTGGCTTGCACTCGCAGTGGAACCCGACCGGGTCATCGCGACAAATGTCCGAGCATCCGCCGTTGTCCTTGGCGCACTCGTTCTCGTGGCACCTGCCCTTGGGCTCGTCCTCATACGCACCGCAGTCGTTCTTGCCATCGCACACGAGTGCCTTGGGGATGCAGTGGTTGCCTCCGCAGTCAAACTCTGTGTGCGGGTCGCACGGCTTGGTGGTGTTGCAGTGGTCCTCGTCCGAGCCGTCGTGACACTCGGCTTGCCCATTGCACTCCAGCTGTCCTGGGATGCAGTGCATGTTGGCACACTGGAACTGGTCCGGCCGGCAGGTGTTGGTGCAGTTAGGCCTCATCAGACTCGTCGGGACAGTCGGGGTCGCCGTCGCACTGCCACTGAAGCATGCACGCAGTCGACTGCCGTTGGCGCATTGGAACTCTCGCTCCTTGCACGTGCTGGGCCGGTCCGTCGGACAGTTGCGTTCATCAGACCCGTCGAGGCAATCGACGTCGCGGTCACACCTCCACCGGTCCGGAATGCAGCGTCCGTTGGAGCACATGAACTCGGCACTCGAGCATGTCACGTTCGCTGGGAAAGTGGCAAGAGTGTGGGTGCTATTGAAATCTGAGAGCACAGAGACAAGAAATTGAAGTATGGAAAGCAAAGCAGTTACTATGAAAATTTCTCAATTGCCTCAGTAAGAACTCACATTTCAGTGAGTGAGTAAATAAGCATTAGCAATGACACTGAAGGGATAGGTGATCTGTTACGAAGGAACACAGATAAATGGTCTAAAAAGTTATAGCAAATATGAAAAGAAAGTCAAGAAAACTATGTTTTCTGACGGCAAGCCCACTCACATCAAGGCAGAAATGTTATGCTACACATGCATGCAGGCGTGCACAGGACACACGCACGCACACATATATATTGTTTACTTTAGTTTCTCTCAACCTCTTTGGTAATATCTACTACATAAAGCACACCACTGTGCTGTTTTTTTTTCTTTCGAGCTAGAGCAGCCTTGTAATGTTTGAAGTCAAAACGACAATCAGTCACAATTTGCTTGATAGCCATTTCCATCTATGTGGGTTTGTCGTGCTTTGACTGATAAGCCGAGAGATAGCACACAATGCAAAAAACAACCAGGAATTCGAAAAATTTGCAAGGTCGAAATTCTGCTTGCACAAACTGCATGTGGGACGCAGTTAACTAGGTTATGTTCCCTTCCTGACCAATATGTAAATGACCTTAAAACCTGCAGTTTTTATCAGTAAAGTTTTTTTTCAGTGGTCTTGAGACTATAAGGCGCATGTGCTGGTAATCAAAATCTGTTCAAGTTACCAACATATGCGGACGCAAAGGCATTTGAGAGACTGCTAAAATAAGTAGCATGTATAGTATCTTTAGGTGCAATGCCCGGCCTAGAAGTATTGAAATCTGGTCATGCATTTGTAGTACAGTTGAATCCTGTAATACTAAAATATCTAGCTTTGTATTTGATAATGTATTATTATACAGCTACTCTACTGTAATAGCTGTAAGGCAATCCTTATTCACTACGTTAAGTCACATTATTTAATGATAATCAGACTAACATTCACTGCAGATGAAACATTTCTTCCCGAGTTCTCCTACTACCACATTCTGTTACTGTCTGACCACCTGCTACGACAGCATTTTCACTGGTTTCGTTGAGGATGCCCTAAGTGTTGTCATTTCTTTGCTACATAATATTGTTCCTTAACCACCGAAGCAGCAGCTTGTACAAGATGACAGGATGACCAAATGAAAAATGTTATCTTTGCCTGAAGAGAATGTTCCAGTTAAATCTCTTTGCAACCCAAGAGATTGGCTCCCTCTTTCTCACTTACAAAACACGTTACAGTCATGAAATCAGGGCTGTAATGAGTGAATTTCCACAAAGCAAAGCCACGTACCGAAGCTCGTAAGTTTTCTGAAAGGAAGAAGAAATCAGTTGAACGGAAAAGTAAGAGACACTCACGACATCCTTTCTCGTCGCTGCCGTCACCGCAATCATCATCCTGGTCACATTTCCAGCGCTGAGTGATGCACTTGCCGTTGTTGCACGAGAATTCCTCTTGTGTGCATGTCACCGCAGCTGCGTTGAAGAAACGACGTAACTCAGTATTTGAAGCTTAAAACAAAATATTTGGATGCCACTGATGATGTTATTTGCGGCTATTAAGCATGATGGGCGTATCATAAGCCGAACAAGAAACACTAGAAAAAAATTCATCTACCACGGTCCGCGATGGCCAGAAAAGCACTACAGATAAGTTCACGACAATCTGCTAGGGCACTGTATTCAGTCAGCAATTTCCGGGAACCACTTGCATACCCTTCAGATATGTATAGAACTTTAGGTATGTAGAGACATTTGGCCGTGCGCAGTACTTTGGCCGTGCGAAGTACTTTGGCCGTGCCCAGTACTTTGGCCGTGCCCAGTACTTTGGCCGTGCCCAGTACTTTGGCCGTGCCCAGTACTTTGGGTATGTGCAGCGATTGAGATATCAATCAATCAAAAAATCTTTATTTGTTGCAAAATATATAAATGCATTGGGGTTAGTACACAGAAGGAGGTCCCAGCACAAGGCCGAAAGGGGACCTCCTGTCAGGAGTATATATGCCAAGTACGTACAACAAAAGGGCACCCAAAGTGGCAAGTAATTTTGATAGAAATAGAAACAACGCAAACATACAATATAAATTCCAGTAAACATGGCAACAAAACAACATTCAGTAATTATACATGGCTATAAAAAAACTCACAAAAAATGGTGGTAGAATCTTGAACAAAAGTGAATGATACATAGCTAAATGCACAACTCAAATCTACATGAGTCATAAGTATAAAAACTCATACGGTTATAGCACTAGATGCTTACCGATACTTTACATATGCACTTTAGGCAGGACAGAAAGTAACTCATTAGTACTTAGTTATACTTACAGCAGTGGTCTTTCTCGTCGGAGCCATCAATGCAGTCCTCCTGACCGTCGCACCGCCATGTGATCGGAATGCAGACGCCTTCATGAGACTTGCAAGCGAACTGGTCTGGAGAGCAGGTCTTATTCTCTGCAAGAAAAAAAAAAGAAAGGATATCATTTAAGCATTGTTTTCTAACGATGGCTACAGTAAACTAAGGTTCAGACAATTTAGTTCAGGTTGACTGGAGAAATGTACGTATATATGCACATACAAAAGTTCTTGAAATACATTTATTGAGCTACACTCAAAGGATGCAGGCGAACAAGTCCCTTCCAAATGTTAAATGTGCTTTGAAAGCTTTGCTACTGGGCCTACTTACACTACAAGAATGATAAAGATAGGGAAATTATTAAAGATAGGCGATTCATTATTATTAGATTTACAACTTATGATATGAATAGGTTCACTTTTCTTAGTTCAGTGACGATACATATCACAACCTATGCAGAATGCAGATGCATGTGATGATCTTCTCAAGTCACCTGGCTCTAAGATACCTGACTCAAGTCACCTGGCTCTAAGATACCGTTTCATGTGACGTTATATAGTAATTGATACGTAAACATACACCTTAGTATATCATGCCGAGGCTTCACAAAAATTAATTTATTCGTTATTCGAATTTGGCAAGTACACTGGAAAGTTTCAAATGTAAGTTAGGTCCCTAGTTCTCAACCTTGCATTACATTATAGGTAGGGAATAGGATCTGCTTTCTAATAGAGTTCTAGACTTGTGTAAATACTTCTGCTTAGATAAGTAGATAAACTATTCAAGAGCAAGCACCATGAACGTCAAAAAGTTCGCTCAACGATCGGCGAAAATGGGCTAAAACATTGCTCATCTTAAACTGTAGCTCAGAGGGAAGACTAATCAGATTTTGAACATCAGCTGCTAAGCTAACCTCATTTTAAGCGTCACACGATTCGCAGAGCTCGCCACTAGCAAGACGTAATTAGGTCTATTTGGACAAGCCCTCTTAGAGGCCTAGCTTAGCAACGTTTTCAAATTGGATTACAGCTGTGCGTCTCTCTCGCTACGCAGAAAGTGGCAGCTGTTTGGCTTCTCCGCTTGCTTGATGCACGACAACTGTGACCTCTGCCCACGCGAGACAATGCACATTCACGAAAGACGGAATGTAGTAGGCTTCTTGAATGCTGCAGAACTACGCATTGCAGCCTGTGCGTGCATGATTTTATTGTTTATTTGAACGTTCTACGTCAGCCTATTTCACAGGCCAGGTCAAAATAAGAGTAGGTTAAAATATTTACGTAGCAATCTTGGAGCTTTAGTTTGCTCCTCAACTTCTTGGCGTTTGTGGATCATCGATCTACTGGGGCCACAAAAGGACAGCCAAATCTGTGCTGCCTTGCAGGTCAGTGGCAGCAATTGAAGTGTGCCACTTCTAGAGGCGCGCAAACTAGGTGCTCTCACCGCAAAAATAATAAATGGTCAAGTTATGCATTTATTTCGAAGTTTGCTTGAACGCAGGTAGCTTATCACTTGTGGTTGATGATGTATGTTCAGGTTCCTCGCCTTACTTGAACTCAGACATACCCAAGGTCGAACAGCCATATCTACTAACATTCATTCATATTTCAGTTGTAGCCTTACAAACATTTGAACTAACAAACATTAGAAATGCCACGAAAAGAAGCTCTGCATCACACAAAGCACGTGAACATGGTGCTCGAGAAACTTCATAAACTAGTTTTATAAAAAAAATCGTGCGGCACACAACTAAACAATCCCTTCAGCAGAATCAAAGGCCTTAACTTTCATGCAGCATTTATGAATGAAGCTTCTGTACAACCCTCCAGATAGTAAAAGAATTCCAGATTCAAGTTTTCTGTATGACACGTTAAAGGAGGTGGTAGTCATGTAAGCCACATATCTTAAGAGTCTTCCACGAAATGGTTGTCATGCAGAGAGTAATGAAGTGTACAGTGAAAGTATGTTCTGCAGAACATAATTCAGTGATAGTTCAAGAATTCGCCTAGAGCTGCCACTCAGTCAAAACAATGACACGGGTTTTCCGTTCTCTTGCTTTTTGAAAAACTATGCGACAAGCAAACGTTTCCTTTGAAATCTTTTTCATAGTACTTTTACACAACTGACAGGTTGCGATAATGCAATGCCATACATAACGATACTGCACTTACACCAATGATTATTAGGCAAGATGCCACACGCCTTCGCATGCAGCTTCGCATGCCTGTATGTTGCATGCAGCTTAAAGAAATAATTGTGCAATGCATTACGAAGCAACCCAACTAAACAGGAATAATAAACTTTTGCAATTAAGTGCATGAGGTTTCATTCACCCATGCTGTTCTGACAGAATCCCAAGTGAGATCCTGTGTAGGTCGCATATGGCATAACATGACAGTGCTTTAATCTCTAATGCAACATGCAGCTATTCAGCTAGTAGTTTGGAAAAGTATTCCAATTAGCCGAACCAAGCCTACGACTGAACCAGTGCATTTTGATGATATACGATGCATTTCATATGCCCTTTACATTTGTAAAAGTCCTGGACATTCAATCTCGTCATGTCAGTCTGCAGGGAAAGGTCGCTTTCGCTAGAGTGCTTGGTTAGGATTTGCTATTATTTTTATATATCTATATAGGCCTCCAGATTGCCGACGCAGACAATAAGATGCAATGTTAATAGAATTTTTTACCAGGTGTTGCACATTTTTGTGGCAAATAGAATGTGATTTGACCTAGTGAATGGGAAGGCCACAAAAACAATCCCAGTTGACAAGGACTGCAAAGCCAGTGGCTGAATAATTGACCCATCACATTCTTGGATACAAGTGAACTGTAGTAACGAGCAGAATGACTCTGCTTACATTAAGTATTCTCTGTACACTATATAGTCTACAGGTCATGACGTACACAGTGACCGTGAATGCAGGCAAGGCTAAGAAAACGTCATAACCTTGCCAAAAAACTCATTGCCTCGAATTTACAGAGACAGATTAGGAGGTTTCTCGAAGTGTTATAATGCTGGAGGAGAGCTCTTAGCATTCGGCTGCTAAACCCCAGTAGAACTTACTCGGCTTCGCGAAAACTGTAGCTAGGTGTCAACAGTTGCATTTCAGAGAATGGTGCACTAACTTTCGCAACAGCGATAACGACGATATTTTTGGAACGAAATATGCTGGGTGAATAACCGAAGTCTCCAATCACCTCCATCTTGCATGAATAAACTCGATTTTATGCCTACAGGTATCCCAATTTCATCAAAACATTTAATCCTTGCTGTCCTCAGCTACCCTAACGATTTCTTGGCACCTATGCTACAACTCAAATGCTTTATCCAGTTAACTACCCGGCTTATGGCCTCCTGACCTTATTTGCTTTTAATGAGAATATATTACCTATTTCCATCATCATCATCTGCCTGACTACGCTCACTGCGAGGCCTCTTTTACCTTTTCCCATTTGCTCTATAATTTTCATTGCTGCGCTTGTCTCTTTCGGTGTTTACGTATCATTTCGTGTATCACCTTTTGGTAAGTGGGCCTCAGCTTTTTCAGCTTTTTCATTAAGCTGAAAGTTTTTGTCTCGTGTGTGTGTGTGTGTGTGTAAAGTAAAGCATGCCATGCTCACAAGGTGTTGTCTGTCTTTTAGCACAATTCATATTGCGCAGATAGACTTCTACACTGTAGTTTTATTGTCTGTACGAGCCTCACCTTTCTAGCACAAAATACTGCAAAATGAAGTCACGAGCTTTCTAATCAAAGACTTATCAATACTGCTGTCCACAGAATGCCCTCCTTCCGAAATGAACTCTGGTGTGTCGGCAACGAGAGAAAAAGATCTGCCGGCATAGTCTTGAAGTAACTGCTTAATTAATTGGCTTGGAAAGGAACAAGACATTGGTCATCACCTGCAGCTGCGACTTAATGCGATAAAGAATGCTGATAACGTAAGGGGGGTAGGATAATGCTGGCAGTAATGTTTGTTGTAAACCAAGCAAACATGCTTTTCACTGCAGAGCTCATAAAAGTTACTGCAAAAGCCCTCTCACTACCACACTGAGCTGGAGAACTGCCTCACGATACAACTTCAGTGTCACGCGTTGCATCAGCCACTAGACAGTACCTGCATGCATTTAAGGCAGAGTAGCCCGAGTGAATGAAGACTATTGCTGCAACATAAGCACAACACCATGCAATTCTGGAGTGGCAACTGTCTTCCACTGATACAGGTATAGGCACATCCTCGCCTTAATAACAGGCTTCATTATAAACAGGTCTCTCGCACGTTATAATACATAACTATAAGTAAAATAAACACAATGTTAACGACCTCATGGGTGTCTGGAGTCTCGAGCCAAGACAACCCCTGCCTCGTCTTAATGACAGGGTGCGCACGCAATGCGAAGAGGTGTAGGGGGGGAGACCAAGGAAAACAGGAATGCCAAACGACGGCAGGGCTTCTTCCAGTCTCGCATGTACATGTCTACATCTGGCAAAAGCCTCTCCCCCCGCCCCTCTCGTTTCCTAGCTATTTGCTTTTTTCTCCCTCTCTGTCGGCCACAGATCTAGAGGAAGCTAATTGCTTCCAGGAAAAGTAGCCCCAAGAGTCGTAACGTGGTAGATAAAATGCACGTACAGCACGTGCAGCCCTAGGCACACCTCTGGAAACTACGCATTTATCGTACCCTTTGCTGTCTTGTTCTTACTGCCTGAAAGAAGGGTTTGATGGCAGAAAAAATTATAGGTCTACAGCCAGACGAGGCTCCTTTATTTTTATTTGGAACGCCACAAGTGGGTGCCCGTGCTTCACGTCGAACCCATCTAAGCCTTCTAGATGAGACACCTCTGCCTGCCAAATCCGACGGGGTGGTACACATTCGGCAGAACCAGCGGTGGCAATGCCGACATCACACATACGCTGCGAATGATTCAAGAGGCCTCTTTCGGCGGGCGTTTGGTGATACAAAGTGGCGTTTGTGGCACACGTACCACAGGCGGCGCTCAGTGGCGATCGAGCGTGACGCCTGAGGAAATGGAACGCTGCATTTAGGCACGCCTCAATGGTTAATGACTGACAAGCCGCAGGACGTCGCTGCTGTGGGTAACACGCGTTTGCACATGAAAGTGGAAATGTTTGTTCAGAAGCAACAGGCAAATATGATTAACTTAACGGGGTGGACGGTAAGGCAAGCTGGTTTGTGACGATGTCCAAGGCAAGCAAAAGATACAAAAAATTTGGCTTTAGTAGACTTGTTTGATCCTTAGTAACTAGTTTCTCAACGAAATCCTCCAATTTTCATCTCTTACTAACATGTATACAGTGTTGCTTTAAAAAAGAACTGTAAATTTGTACCTCATTGTCCATGCTTCGTATCTCATTGCCTGTAAAAATGGCGATAAGTTTATTGTTGTGTGCCATTTTTATCCTTCCCAAATTGTTTTCCTTACATTTCCTACCTACTGCCACTAAAGAACTTATAGTAACTAAATCACCTTGTTCTGCATTGTTTGGCTGTTTAGCTAAGTATACTCATTTGTGTTATGACATGTCTTCTACACTATTTCTTAACCCTTCTTCCTGAGTAAATGCTTTCTAAAAAAGCCCTTAATTGTACAATAAATGAAGAAGATTAATAGTAAGTCATTTTTCTCATGAAGTATGCCAATGATAATGACAGCAAGCAAGAATCAAACAGAATGGTTAGAAAACATGTCCGAACTGTACTTCCTCAGAGTTTCAACAATTTAGTTGTTCCGATACTTTGCTGCCCTCTTTTCATGGCATACAGACTAAAGCTGCAGTTAAATATTGCTACGCTCTTCCTCTTCAACCTATGGGCTAACTTCCATAACCAAATTAGTTTGTATTATTCATGATTGATACGACCTCTACCTTGATGCATGTTGTGTTACATTTCATAAGTTGACACAGGTACTCGCATTGATAATTAGGCTATGTAAGTAATGTTCGAACAGGGAGTATTAGGAAGCAACATGCGTTCTATACGTGCATGTGACCTACAATTAGACCATAGGTGACATAACACGCACAGTTTACACGATTGCGGAAGCCTACAACACCCCTGTTCTGCGATAAATTGGCAAATGTCACTTGTTCATGCGCACGTCTGTGACGAAAGCTAGGAGCGAAAGGAATTGCTGCCAATAGAACTGTGCCAGGTTAAAATCAACAAGAAAAAGGAATGCAAGGCAAGTTTAGCTTCGTTGCAACAGCAACCACATGCTAGGTTTTTCTGGCAAATTATTGTTAAACTGAGACCGAGTCTGTTAGCCTAATTCATCATTCTCAAGTCTCCCAGCTGGCACGAGCACTAGGAAAAGAATTTTCAGAGGTACAGCTGGCATCGATGACAGTTTAACGAGCCTCACTACGCCATTGCTGTATTTAGTAGCGACGTGACAAGACAGCTTCTTTGGAAAAAATAATCAGCAAGAAATGCGGGTTAAGGAAAAAAACGTTTCAATATCGGCTACCTCTCATGAAACAATGTTCTTGGTTTTGTGGGCACAGCAGACAGAAGCGCAGCATCTTTGAGCACAGAGGTGGTACTAAATGCCAAAGTTGTTGCCGAGAGTACCTAGCAGCACTCGCAAACTGCAACGAGGCATTGAAAAAAAAAATGTAACAGCTGCTATGAGCAACTGCCCAAAATAACCATGCTGTAGCAAAATCTCGCTGGCAAGGACAAGGTCTGAAGCAAATATTAGACCCCAAAGTTACACTTATTTGACACAAAGTTACGATGCTAGAAACAGAAGTATATATGAGCATTACTTAAATTACTTAACTCTAAATTTTCACAATTTTCAATAATATATTTTCACTTTTTAGAACTACACTCAAACGTCGATTTAATCGAACATGAATGTAACGAAAGATTGGTTATAAAGAAATAACAAAAAAACAGTCTCACAATAGATAGTGTTAGAAATAACCTGTAACAAATTTTTGGATATACTATAGTGAACGTATATTCTTGTAAGATGTAACCTTTTTTATAATGAGGTTGGAGTGTATACTTACAAGTATCTTTACATTTAAATTGAAACCCAGCTGCTACGGTTACGAATTAAGCTTACGAGTTGGAACAGCCAACGTGGTTGCCCCTCAAGTACTGCAGCGTGAACATGAAGAAACTAACAAAACAGGTAATTAAACACCAGCTCCGTGTTAACGAAAGAGCACAGGGAGGCCTCGTCCACTCACTGCAGATAGCCAAGTCCTCGTCCGAGCGGTCGTCGCAGTCGGGCTCGTTGTCACACTGCCACCGGCTTGGTATGCAGTGGCCATTTGCACATGCAAACTCCATCTCCGAACACGTTCGCTTCTCTGCAACGAGACAATTAAGAAGTGCGATAAGCCGTTTATCGACATTCCGACGACTGGCGTTTATAACTTGTTATGGCTTTTAAAGCTAATGAAGTCCCAAACATTTCCTGTACTTGAGGCATTCTATCCAGAAATATGTGTGGCCTTTTTTTTGTCGTGATTACTTCATTGGAGACATTACATCCATTGCCGACTTCCTGTCTTGTTTACAACAAGGCAGCACCATATCATGCCACTGAAAAAAAAGCGATGCGCATTCTATCCCAACCGATGTCGTGCTATTCGCGACATAATATCATAAAAATTAAACAATACCGTTATCATGGACCATTTCTCTTTTACAGCAATGCTACAAGAAGCTTCACGTGTTTCTGCATTCAGCCATGTAATGTGTGGCATCATTAACAATGTTGTGCCATTGATGACAATGACAGTTAGCAGCCTTTCGGGCGGCATAGCTTTGAAGGGACAGTAACGGCACAGGATAATTTATGTCGGAGTGAAAGCTCGATGTATGATGCCTAAAACGGCAATATTATCAATAGTGGTGCCTCACTTATCAATAAATTGAGCTAAATGTATCGCATGACATAAAATTGATCCCAATAAATTAATGCCACAGTGCATTGCGACACAAACTAAACCACTACAGCTTGCATTATTTTACTGTGCCCAAGAGGTAGAGGCACATTACACTGAATATTTGAAGCAATTAAGACACAAAATCGGGCCAGTTGGTTGGGACTCATCGTGAGCTTGGTTTACAGCTAGTGTTGCACTGTAAGCCAAGTTTATGTGGAGCAATAAACAAACTGGTGAAAGTAAGTGTCACAATATGTAGTTTGGCCAAATATTGTGGCTAAATTAAACTGAGACGAATGATGTTGGAATTAAAATGCGGCATTAAGACAGGCCATCAAGACTGTTGATGTGCCTTTCCAGGAACCGTGCCAAGTCTTGACGTCAATGTAGCCTGCTAATGTTTGCTTCAAATGAGGCTATTACATCTCGCGAGTGATGTGCGAAAATAACTCTGGTACAGTCTTGCAAACAGGTCCCAGACACAGGTAAAGTAACAGGATCACCGATGACGACACATATTGTAAGGCAATCATAAGGGCATAGTAGTTCCACCGTTTTGACTTTGACGAGTTAACAACAACGAACAGCTCTTGTGACACACCAACAAACACATCTAGTGTGATGTGCCTTAGTAATTGCATGCACTGCTACAGATGCTGCAGTGCCTGCTCCCCAAATGAAAGAGCTGTGAAACTGCTATCGCACAAATGCCTATCGCCAATCAACCTTCGTTATCTGTAGATCTCATTTAGCAGGACATACAGCCAGGTGCGGATCTAGCCACTTTACTTTTATGGGGGGGGGGGGGGTGTCACCTGCAGTAACATTGGAAAGGGGTCGTGGTCATGACTGTTTTTACTAGCAGAAAAACCCCTTCATAGCATAAACACTGTTAATGTGTGCTCCCAGTGGTTTTACTTATTTGTCTAAATTGGTGATAGGAGGTGGAATACAACCATTAAAGTGATGGGGGAGGGGGGGTTGCTGAGGCAAGCCCCCCCTTCTGAAGTCCACCCAGCATACAGCCGCAATTATTTTGAAACATTAAGCACCTCCCGTGTAAAATGAACGATGCATAAAGGTTATCGCTGTGTATAAGACACTAACTGACACAATTCTATATGCTGCACTGGCTGTTCTTTGAAAAATACGCTTTAAAGAGCCATCCATGAACTACTCATCAGCTTTGCATGCACTGCACTGAAGTACATAATACGCAGGACCGCAGTTGATTGTCTATGGCTGAAAGAGTGGTACATTGTTTCGAAGGTGTCACACCTGTCACCTTTGTACACCCTCACATAAGATGCACATGGTACACAGCTGCGATCTTGAGGCAACAAACAACAACAGGACTAACTACTAACGTCTCTAATAAACGTATAGTCTCATAACTTCTAGATCTTTACCTGAAGGTCTATGGGATGTTTCTATGCAACAGCGCCAACATAATTTCATGTTATACCAATTCACTGCAGCACACAGTTCTTAATTGCATTCAGCGACTGCAACAATGAATGCTAGAGCAAGTGCCAGCTAGAATATCTGAAATTCCTTATGCATCTGTACGTAAATGTCGGAACAAATGTTGATCTGCATAACAATTTGTTCATGTACATTGCTCATTGTCCACCTAATATAATAAGAGTTGGAGAACAGCTGGTGCAAGGTATGAACACGTAGGTCGCATGCTTATTGGCAAATGTGTGCAACTGCTCAGGTACAAGAAAAAGTGCCTTCCTCAACAGGTGCTACCTTCATACTAAGTTATACCACAAGAGACAATGGCAGCTTCAGCTCATAAAGTATTTAATATGCAAGTTTGCTTTTTTTATTACGGAACCAAGCTCAAAGCGTGCAGCTTCCTTGCAAACTGTGAGGGTCACGTACATATGGTTCTACATATCTAAGGTACGTGAAGATCTTAGTCCTCAAAACCTCATAAAAGCTAATAAATACATAATTAAAAAAATTAGTTGAGCGGCAGTATGATAGACGTCATTATTGCCATTTTCCTCGTGAAGTATAGAACAAGCATTCTGCACTAATGAGGATGTTCACATTAGATGCGTTGTATTCAAAATGCAGGCTCCCTCAAGACCGCGCGATTCATAAGACGTACCGGTTTTGCTCGAGGCGTTAACACATTTCGTGTTTACGTCAGCAACAATGAGAAAGCGCTAGCAACCCCATTGGATCGTGCCAGAAGTGCGCATGCAGACGACAATTAAATTAACCGGACGCGCGTGCCAAGTCCGTCTGCAAACGGCGCGCACTGCAACCAACGTAGTACGCATGCGCACTGCCGGCAATTAAGCTCGTACGTAGGTATACGTGAGCACCGAAAGCAAGAACGATAAACAAAAAGCTTTCGAAGCGAGGGCTAGCAGGTGTGCAACGCGGCGCTGAATCGTACGATATGTGGAGCATCGTACGATGCCGTATATCGTACTGCGCGACAGGCGTCCAACTGCCTCCCGAACGAAAATGAAAGTGCACTGCGGAGGTTATGAGGGCACGCAGTCAATGATTCTTTTATTTTTTTTTTTTACGCTGCGCATGCGTGAAACGCGAAGGTTACGCCACGTAGAACAAAACGATCGCGCCGGTGCACGCAGGAAAAAAAGGCAACAAAATACCGGCTGCACGTGCAAAGCGGTATACGGCCCTCGTAAAAAAATACGGAAAGGAAGAAACAAAAAAACTATAGAACGACGTGGCCCAACAGCGCTGCCCCGCTAGGCTGCAAAGAGAAGGAAAAAAAGAGCACTGGAAACGGGTCATGACGTAAAATCAGGCGTTTTTCCGAGCAGCCAATGGGAGTGCGAGGTGTGGCGTTACGTCACGAGCGGCTCGCGTGAGCGCGGCTGGAGGGCAAGGGAGGTCGGCGCCGCGACTGTTTAAGAGGAAGCAGAAGAAAGGTCGAATGGGTATTCTCTCTCTCTCTCCCTTTCCCCGCTCGGTTGTCGGCGCAGAAAATAAACCCACGTCCACAGAGACAAAAAAAAGGGGGGGGGGGAGGGGGATGACGTCACTTCAAAAGGCGCCGACAATGCGAGACTTAGGATGCGGATGGAAAGGGGTTTTTGTGTCCCACCTGAACCAAAAGTGTTCCCAAGGAAACGTGGACGTTCGCGGAACATTCGCACGCATTACGATACAACTGCAGAGAGAAATAATCGTGGGAATTAACGTCGAACGTGCGGGAATTTAAAATATAAAAGAGTGTAACGGATGCAACGACAGAAGTTTAATTAGGCAAGCTTGGAGAACGGAAGATAACTCCATGCAGTAGTAAAGACCCCGCATGCGTGTATATTACTATCACATGCCCAGCAATCAGATGGCAAACCGAAACTACAATAATTGCTTGGATTTAACGTCTCAAATTCACATAATTATGAGAGACGCCGTGGTATAGGGCTGCGGTAATTTTGACCACCTGAGGATGTTTAATTAACGTGTAATGGTATAAAGTGGCAGCAGCAAGCACAGGACAGAGTTGACTGGTGGAACATGGGAGATGCCTTTGTCTTGCAGTGGGCGTAGTCAGGATTATTATTATTATGAAATCTTTTTGTACACTGGTTACCAACATATTCGCTTCCTCCAAAAATGCGGCCGGGATTCGATCCCGCGGCCTACGGGTCAGCAGTATGGAAAGGTATCGTCTGGTACTACAAACCCTATAGGTATCAATACACAACTGTTAGCCTGATAATCTGAGAAGTTACGGATGGTATTCCGCCGTGATCCGCACGCTAGTAAAGTAAAACAAGATTCTGGGCAAACCACAGAGGTGAACAAACATTACGAAAGTAAAAAAGAAGAACATTGGAACACAAGCACGAAGTTCAAAATGCATTATTATTGATCCGTAAGGTCGGTCAACGCGTTTGCCCACGTTTCCCGAGAAAAAAACCGGCAAACGGTCGGTTTAACAAAGTTTGACTAGACTATTCCGAGACTTAATTATGAAGGAAAGAAAGAAAAAAAAGTAATAGAGAGCTCGGTGCGACGCCATGCAGCTGTCAGAACGTCGCACGCTTTTTCCGCGGGGATTTCGCAGTCGCGAGAATTCACACCCACACACAAAGTGCAGTTAAACCGAGACGCCCACGCTGAACATAACATATTGGGCACGGGAAGAGGAGGGGGGGGGGGAAGGAGGGGGATGATAAACTAAGTTACGGAGGACGCGATGCAGAAAAAAAAGGAAGCATGCGAAAGAACGGCGTTTGTATCGGTAGACAGAAATAATAAACAAAAAAAAAAAGGCACACCAGCAGTGCTATCCGCCGCGCAGTATAAAGGCACCCTTGATCCACTTATGCCGCTAAATTGAAGCCGCATCGTAGTCGAGCCGAGCTAATCCCATATACACGAAAGACCGCGCTCTGAAAGCAGCCGAAGAAGAGAAAAAAAAAGCCACAGACACACAGAGAAG